CATCTTTCTATTCCGAGTTCTCTCAGCTTCATCCTTCCAGACACTGGGTGGTGGAGACCCCGCTGTGTGGGTGAGGGGGGCAGGCTTCTGAGGGCCTAGGGCCCTGCCCATTGAGGGCAGCAGGGAGGAAGGGAGGTCAGTGTTTTGCTGAGTCCTGCACCCTGGCAAGCTCCAGGTCAGGCAGGCCTGTCCTGCATCATCCCATCTCGTTGGGTGCTCAGGGCAGCTCCATTCACAGCTGGGAGCTGCAGCCTGCAGGGTGACACATTCAGAGCCATGTGGTCAGGCCAGTTACGGGCATCTGAGGTCTCTGCGGCTCAACTCATGGGCTAGACTTCCTCCCATGTGGGTATGGGCCCTGGAGATGGCTCTCTCCAGTCTCCTACCTTGGCACAGGAGGAAGCTGGAACACAGTCTTGCTGCCAAGCAAGAGCACTCCTGAATGGGCGAAGGGATAGGCAAACAGGATGGGGGCAGTCAGGGTGAAGGAGGCTTCCCCTCTGAGCCTTCCATCTCCCCCAGTAGCCATGTCTTTGTTCCATTAAGGAGAGAAAAATGAAAACAACTTGGGATCATGTTCCTATCTTAATCTGCTTGGGGATTCCTAAACAACAGACATTTATTTTCTCACAGTTCTGGAGGCTAGAAGTCCAAGATCAAGGTGCCAGCTAATTCGGTTCCTAGTGAGGGCCACTTCCAGCCTTGCAGACAGCCACCTTCTTGCCTTGCACTCCCATGGAGCTTGGGGGAGTGGGAGGGCTCTCTTCCTCTTCTTGGAAGGCCGCTGTCCTAGGGTGAGGGCCCCACCCTTACAACCTCATTCCATCTTAATCACCTCCTCACAAGACTTGTCTCCAGATGCAGTCACACTGGAGTTAGGGCTGCAACGGGTGAACTAGGGGGATGCAGTTCAGCCCATAACAGTTCCATATTACTTCTTTAAAAACAAACGTAATGTGTTGATATTCACAATTTCCTTTCATTGTTTGATTTACCAGGGTTTTTATCGCTTTCAGTAATTTGGGAACAGAAGGAACTCTGGCTGTTGGCCTGGGTGTGGGTTTGGGGGGCTTTATTTTAGATCCTACCTCCTCCTCTAAGTGCCTCAAGCAGACAGTGTCCCTGAGCTGAGCTCCTGGTCCCCGAGGCCTCCCAGTCGCCAGTTGAGGGCCCTTGAGGGTGCCCAGGAGCACATCTGAGATGCTCTGGAACAGCCTACCGGAAATGAGCTTGTTGTAATTGGTGGTAATGAGTATCTAATGACCATAATTAGGCCAGTTACAGTGCCTGGGAGGACAGGGTCTTGGTGCTGAGGGAGAGACAGAGCTGCGCTGCAGAGCATTGGCGGAGGGCAAAGCGCACTTTTTTTTTAAGTTTTGCTTTTACTCAAATATGTACATTTGCAAAAATGTCCAGTCTTAAAGAAATAAAGCCTGTAGGGTGTGATTGCTTACCATAATAGCATGGCTAACACCACAGGGCCTGGGGTATGACAGGCATGTTTTCTCCTTATTCGTGGACATCTGGATGGTTTCAGTTTTTCCAAAATTACGAACAGTAGAGGTAGTGTGGGCATCCCGTAAATATGGCATCTATAGGTGTCAATGTTCTTGTAGGACAAACTCTCAGAACAATAATTTGAAGATCAAAGGATATGCACTTTTTCATTGTTAATCAGCATTTCAAAACTCACCTCCAAAAAAGGCAGCACCAATACATACCTATAGAGAAATGTGAGAAAAGGCTTGGGTATTCTCTGTGATTTGAGAATTTTCATTTGAGAAAGATAAGTTCCATGTGTTTTTTTGGGTGTATTTTGAAAAACCTTCAACACTCGGTATGGTACTCGGCTTGTAATGGGCTCCCAGATGTCTGCTGTTGGGTAAAGAACAGGAGAAAGACTGCCACACGCCCTGCAGGAGCCCAGAGTTGCACACGCAAACGTGGCACACACAGACACACTTACCCTCCCGTGCGCCCATGCCTCTGGTGCACACACATGCCTTCGCTAAGCCTCGTGTTCCAACCTGATCACTCCTTTCCCTAACTTAACTAAGCCATAATGGAAGGTGAAGAGGTAGCCTCTCCCCCAACCTGGGCATCAGAGCATGCTGGGTCCTGTGTGTCCCTCTTGGCCTGCTCCTGGTCCCCCTCCTGGACCATAGGCACTCGGGGGACAGCTGCGGAATAAACCTGATACAGCAACAGAGTGTCTGCTGTGCTGTCAAAGGGCCATGTGCAGGGCCCAGCAGAGGAAAATTTCACGAAGGTGAGTTTGGAAGGATGTCAGGCAAGTCCCTGAGGGCCAGGTGTCAGACTCTAGGTTTTATCCGAGGGTGCCCAGGAGTTGTTGTAGTCTTTGAACAGGACTGGAATGATGAACACAGTGTTTGAAGGTGCTCAGCTTGCAGGTGTGCACGATGGATGGGGCAGAGAGGGGGATTTCCTCTGCGAATCGTGGAGGGGAGGGGAGGGGTGAGCGCAGCAGGACCCAGGAATGGCATTAAGGGAGAGGATGGATGGTGAGTTGATTGAGGAGGTAGAATCAACAGGATTTGAAAACAGAGGGACCTGAGCAGGAGGGCATCCATTATCTACTCTGGGCAAAGAGAGATTAGGGGAGCAGGGGTCTGTACCAAGACCGGGCGGTACAGGTTAATTGTAGAGCAGACTTAGGGCCTGTCCAGGAACCCCCAGCCGCTTAGCTGTAGCTGGCGTCTGCAAGGACCAAAAGGGGGGGGGTATGTGCACCCCAGGAGCCCCATCCTGGTTGAGTACGGGAAATAAGATTCACTTCCGGTGCCCTTGAAGACTATGTAAGGTTGTGATGGAGGCTCTGATGGAGGGTCCCTCTCCCTCAGCTCTTTCAGAAAGCACCTCCCTGTGACCCAGTGGGACTGCGTTCCCACACATGAAGAAAATTCCTACAAGGATAGCTTTTGAGCTCCTTCAGTTTTCACAAGTAAATCTGTGACAGAAAAGGTCAATCCATGGGGCGCCTGGTGGCTCAGATGGTTAAGCGTCTACCTTCAGCTCAGGTCATGATTCCAGGGTCCTGGGATCGAGCCCCACATGGGGCTCCTGGCTCAGCGGGGAGCTTGCTTCTCCCTCTCCCTCTCCCTCCACCCCTGTTCATGCTGTCTCTCTCTCTCTATCTCTGTGTCTCATATGAATAAATAAAATCTTGAAAAAAAAAAAAAGAAAAGGTCAATCCTTTGTGCAGGGATCAGGAAAGGGACAAGTGATACATAAATATCTCTGCTAATAGGGCTCCACTCCTTTTTCATTTGAACATTTAAGTCTGTTAGTAGCTGATAGTATTAAAGGAGCCTATTCCCAAGAAAACACTTTAAACTTTTTCTGGGAAGTCAGAACTAGATGGACATCATCACCTCCTTCCCTGTCCCCTGCCTGCTCCCTCCCCTCAGGGCCACTCCCCCGCCCCCCATGATCGTCCACCTGTTTCTTTCTCTGTAGTCACAGGCACTTCTGTCACTGAAGAAACAAACAAAATTCAGCTCCTGCAAGACCACCCTCCTCGGCTCTGAGCCTCACTCTGCAGCCCCTGCAGCAGGCTTTCCCTCCCTGCACTGCCTGGCTCCCACAGTCCTCTGGAGCTTTCTAGTCAGCTTCTATCCCACCAGACCCTAACCTTTTACAGAGGTTAACAGCGGCCTCCTAATGACTAAGCCCTTCACCCCCGTGACTACTTCTGGTTCTTCTTGACCTACCTGATCATTCTTTCCATCTCCTCCTTTGCCTATCCCTTATGTTGGTTTTTCAGCATTCAGAGGCCATGGCCTACTTCTCATAAGTAGAGCTGCGTGCACAGGTGGATACGTACAGATGTCCCAAACACACCACATGCAGATGACACATGAATATCTGTCTCCCACCCAAACCGGTCCGTCCATCCCCACCTCCCAGTAAGCAGCTACCTCGAATCTGTGCTTGGCTGGGTCAGGGACTCAGGATGGGTCAGGCCACTCTGCACACTGTGCTTGGGAGAATGTGGTGCCGTCCGTGGCGCTGCCCATATGAACTTGGGAGTTGCCCTGGCCTCTTTCTCTCACACCCGTATCCGGTGCTCAGGGATCCTGGGGACTCTCCCTCTGGCTGTCCTGTGTCCACCTGGACAGTGGCAGCTCTCCCCACTGTCTCCCCTGCCAATCGAGCCCTGCCCCCCAACGGGCCCCCTCTCTCAGCCCAGCTGAGGCCCAGCCTCCCAAGTTTTAGGGCCAAATGTCTTATTTTTCTGTTTAAAATCTCTAAGTGGATTAGTTCATCTTTTCTGGTACCCTCTAGATCAAGCTTTTCCTCTCTCTTTTTTTTAAAAAAAGATTTTATTTATTTATTCGAAAGAGAGTGAGAGAGAGAACATGAGGGGGGGGGTCAGGAGAAGCAGACTCCCCACTCAGCAGGGGAGCCCAATGTGGGGCTCGATCCTGGGACTCCGGGATCATGACCTGAGCCGAAGGCAGATGCTTAACCGACTGAGCCACCCAGGCGTCCCTCCTCTCTGACTTTAAGGCAACAGTTCCCCTCCCTGACACACATCATCACAACAGATGCAAACCAACACAGCACTGTACCAACACCAGGCTGCCGTTCACATTCATGTCCATGCCTCTGCTTGTGTGAGTATCTGGAAGTGTGCCCTCCCCTCCCTTCTAGACACACGGCTCAGGGCTTCGGACTTCTCCAGTGCCGGTGCCACCCCAAACCTGCCCCGCCCAGGCCTCCCATGGGTGCCCGGCTGTGGACTCTTAAGTTCCGCCCACATGGCTACGCTGAACGGTGGCCTGTATGCACTCCCTGGACTGCATTCCTGTGTGGCACCTGGATCACCGTCAAAGTGGGTAACTTGCTGTCTCTTACCAGATAAAAGGAAGCCTTCCTTTCCCCTCAGGGATTCAGATATGATGCCAGTGCCGATAACCTGTTGTGGTTGTTTTCCCTCGGACAGCGGACACTGATTCGGTCTCATCTCTCCTATCTAGTGTTAAGCATCCATGGCATTCAAGAAGAAGGTCCCCCCAGTGCTCAGCTCATGAGGCTGGATAACATGCTGCTGGCCGAGGGGGTATCCAGGCCGGAGAGGCGAGGAAGGGGAGGATTGGCGGCAGCGGCCAACACAGCAACACCAGGTGGCTGTCCAAATGACAATAGCCTTGAGCACTCTGACTACAGGGCCAAGCTGTCCCAGATCCGACAGATTTACCACTCTGAGCTAGAGAAATATGAACAGGTGATCTTTCTGCATGGAAGAGTTTCTATCATGTGAATGCGCATTTGTCAAAGCAAAACATGGAACGCTAACCACCTTTCTTTTGTGGCATAGACCAGAGACTACATGCACTTGGTCTCACGGCAGAGGTGGCCGATTTTGCTGGAAACCCTTTGCATTCACTTCTCAGTAGCCAGCCTGTGTGGCAGCTGCAGGGGGGCGGCAGGTGGCTGGTCCCGCGTGGAGCCCCGAGCCAGCCTTCTGGGTAGTCACAGGCTGGCACATGTGTCCCCACCCCAGGCCTGCCGTGAGTTCACCACGCATGTCACCAACCTCCTCCGGGAGCAGAGCAGGATGAGGCCCGTCTCGCCCAAGGAGATCGAGCACATGGTCAGTGTCATCCACGGCAAGTTCAGTGCCATCCAGATGCAGTTGAAGCAGAGCACCTGCGAGGCTGTGATGACCCTGCGTTCACGGTTCCTCGATGCCAGGTCAGGCCCTACATACTGCCCGTGATCCCAGGGTTGGCTCTTAAGAAGAAGAACCAAATTGCAGCTGGCTTGGGTTTAAGTTCTGGGGGCCTCCCAGCCTGTCCCGGGGCTCCAGCTGTGGCCAGGCGTGCAGCCCTCACACAGCCTCTTGGGAGGCGATCAGAAGTGCTGACCTTGGGGCACCTGGGTGCTCAGTGGGTTAAGCATCTGCCTTCTGCTCAGGTCATGATCTTGGGGTCCTGGGATCGAGCCCCACATCAAGCTCCCTGCTCAATGGGGAGTCTGCTTCTCCCTCTCCCCTTGCTTCTGCTCTCTCTCTCTCAAATAAATAAAATCTTAAAAAAAAAAAGCGCTGACCTCTAGGAAATCACAGACGGGGACACGGGCATCCCTAGAGGCTGGGGTGCACACTGGCTGAGGCTGAGAAGATGGGTCTTTGCAGGCGCAAGCGGCGGAACTTCAGCAAGCAGGCCACCGAAGTGCTGAATGAGTATTTTTACTCCCATCTGAGCAACCCTTATCCCAGCGAAGAAGCCAAAGAAGAGCTGGCCAGGAAGGGCGGCATCACGGTCTCCCAGGTGATGGGCCTTCCTGCATGGAGGAGGGGGAGAAGGTCGTGTCCAGTGAGGAGGATGCCCAAGGAAGTTTATTAACTGTGTGGAGCCCGTGGGTGGAGTGTGAGGTCCCTGAGGCCACATCAGTGGAGTGTAGAGTCTGGCCGTCAGGACCGAGCACACACTTGTATCGCAGGGATGTCGTGTGCTGCATAAGAGAGCTGAGCATGTGTTAGCACAGGAAGAGAAAAACAACTTGGAGCAAAATTAGGACTGAAAATGATAGACCAGCTCTCATGCCAGAGTACCAGTTCAGCTGTACTGGGAGTTCGGATGCATGCGTGCTTGATTGTTTCTCCAGCGGTCCAGAGCGCGTGGCCAGGGTTGTGCAATACCGGGCAACATCTGTCTCCACGTGGAGGGTGGGTGGGGGTACAGATTGGAGATGAGACCTGGACAGCCTTGGGAGGCCCTGCAGTCTGGACCTCCAGTGTCCTCAGTGGAATTGGGAGCAAGGGAGGGGAAGCGGAGGGGAGAACCCAAGAAACATCTCAGAAGGTTTTAAAGTGGGAATGGTGAGTACAGGCGGCTCACGAGGCAGGATCAGGCCGCACCCCCAGGGCAGCAGCCCCCGAGCCTCTGGCAGCAGGGCTCACCGCGCTAATGCTAGGTCACTGATCATCACCCACTGTGCACTTGAAGGGGCTGAGTTTCCAGCCCAGTCTGGCTGCCTCCAGAGCCCGTGCCCTTAGCCAGAACTGTGTCCCAGCCCCGGCCAAGTCCAGCTGCGACAAGTCCAGGGGCCCCCTGGTAGCAGAACCTTGCAGGTGTCGCAGTCCCCCTGACTTCCATCACCCTGGACTGCTCTGGCGTCCTCGGCACCGAGGCCAGCGCTGAAGCAAGGGGCGCACCTCTGGGGCCTCAAGGCTCCGAAGAAGCGTGAGGCGCGGCAGCTTGTTTGCCACCTCGTGCAGCTGAGGAACAGCCCGATTCGTTTCAGGGTCTGGCGCCTCTGGAAAGCAGATGGGTGTTGGGTCTAGACTTCATCTGAGGAGAGGGTCAGTTGCCAACGAAACTAGGCACGTTCCAGTGACTTCCCCTCTGTGCTCAGGCCCTAAGACTCCCCCCCACCCACACACACACACACCGACCAGCAGCAGAATTCTGTGCCGGGAGCCCCTTCCCCATGGTGGCGGGTCCACCAGGTCTCAGGATAGCATGAAATGGCTGACAGTTGAGGGGGGACTCTGAATTTAGGGTGCAGATGTGCAAGCTGGGAGGTTCACCTAAGGAGAAGGTAATGGGGGCACCCTGAGGGCAAGGGGTGTCACACATGAGGCCACAGACGTTTTCAAGATAGAATCAGCTGCCGCTGCAGCTGAGGCCCGAGGGAGAAAGGGGCAGGGTTGCCAAACCGTGGACGGGGAGATGGGCGGAACCTGCAGCGGGCTCGGCCAGATGGGCCTGAGAGACTGGGCGGGGGCGGCTGGTGGCTCCGGGCCACACCGACCGAGAGGATATCTGAGAGCCTGGGCCATGTCCGCACCTACTTGAGGTGCCCGTGTTGGGGTGCTGCCCATGGACAGGGCGGACACTGGCCCGGGACCAGCTCTCCCCCAGCCCCTGGGTCTCCCATCTGCTCAGAACAGGGCCAGCCTCCCTGCCTCGCCCACATGGGAGGTTTGCTGTCTGCTCCCCCTAAAATGCCAGCTGAGTTACCATGGAAAACTGCTTGCTGCCATTCCTCTGCAGACTCAGTTCCACAAAGACGTTCCAGCACATTCCTCGTAGGTAGAGGGAACCAAGTGCTGCTCTGGCCGCCCTCACACCCGGGGGCAGGCAGGAGGAGACACTGCGAGGGGCAGGAGCGCACACGGGGCTTTTTCATTTCATGGCTAACAATGGAGAAGATAAGGTGGAGCACCTGGGTAGGCACATTAAAGAAATACATTTTCAAAAAAGAAAAGGTCATCAAAACCCTGCCACTGTTATTTCTGTTGGTTAAACCACACATACGTCACTGCAGGGCCCCAGGCCTTACTTTGGGATATTGAAGTATTTCCAGTTGTGCCCTTCTCCATAGGAAGGAGCTGGCCCAGGGGCTCACTGATTCTGCCCCCAGGGGCTCACTGATTCTGCCCCCAGGGGAAATTTTCATTGTCACAACCCTTGGGTGGGGGCTGCTGGCATCTGGTGGGTGGAGGCCAGGGGTGCTCCTCAGCACCCTACAGAGCCCAGGACGGCCCCGCAGCTGAGAACAACCCCAGGGAGAAGCCCTGGCCTGGTCCTGGAGCAGGTTTGGGGTCAGCTGGGCTCAGCCCCGCTCAGCCCCGGGGCTCCTGCACCTACCGAGCCTGCTGGCTTGTAGGATGGCTGTGACCGCGGCTGTCCCCAGCTGCTCCGAGGATGTGACAGGCGCTTAGCTCAGTGCTTGGCTCCTCCCCGCTGCCCTGTCAGTTCATCCGTCCGTGTCATCCTTTGAGAAGTTTCCTTAGACTGAATTCCCAGGAGTGGGGTTACTGGGTCCCTGGGGACACATGGCTCCCTGGCTCTCACTTTCCCCAAAGAGCAATCCAGAATTTAGTCTGTTCCTGCCCCTGCAGGGAGTGGACGCTCGGCTCTCCACATGTCAGACGTGCTGTTTCCTTCCAGCTCCTTCCCGCCCCCATCCCAGCAGCACCTGGTAGGACAGGTCGGCTCGGGGTGACCTCCAACCACTGTGGCCATTTCCCTGGGTCCACGATTCAGTCAGCACCGGCTTCTCGGTCCCAGCCTCTTGCCTGGCCCCAGCGCTTCGTGTTGCCACTCAGAGATGTTCCTCCTGGCCATGGGAGCACGGGCACCTCAGAGAAAGCCCACCATATGTTCACGTTATCTCATTACTGGGTCAGCTTTTCCAGCGACTTCTTTCTCTGTGTGTCCACAGGTCTCCAACTGGTTCGGCAACAAAAGAATCCGATATAAAAAGAACATGGGGAAGTTTCAAGAAGAGGCTACCATTTATACGACTAAAATGGCAGTCGACACCACCAAAGTCGGGGGCCTAGGGAGCCAGGCTAGCTGCCCATCAACACCCAGCCCCGGTGAGTGAGGCTTCCCAGCCCAGGGACTGTCCTTCATGCATGGCCGCTGAGCTGTGCAGGAAGGGGCTGCAGGAGACCTTCTCTCTGGAGCTGAGGCCGGTGAGAGCTGCGTCCCTGGCTGAGGGGCTGGCAGATCCCACCTGAGGAGCCTCTGTAACTTTGGGGCTGGAACACTTGTCCTGACACCTCCCACCCCTTCTAGGTCCCTCTGGTCCCTTCCCGCTGACCAGTGCCGGGGATGCGCTTATCACCCTGCAGACACTGGCCTCTCTCCGCCCCGCCCCTGCAGGAGGCAGCTTGCGGTCCCAGGTGAGTCTCAGGGCACAATCCAAGGATGCCCTTGAGGTCCCTGACTCAGTGTTGGGGCAGAGATGCAGAGCCCAGGTGGGTGGTGGGTCCTGGGAATGGGCCATCTTGCCAGCCACCTCTCAGCCTCCACAAGGCTCTCTCAGAGGTCCCAGCGATGAGGAAGGGCCCACTGGGTACTTGGTCTGTTGTCTTGATGACTACAGGTTGGCTGAGCGGCCTCAGGGGCATGGCTCTGTGGGGCCCGCTTTGCCAAGACCTGTGCCCTTCACCCCCAGTCCCAGGACTCAATAACTCCCAGTAGCTGCTGAGTGGTGGGCCCGAGGCAAGGGCTGTGGCTGTTGGGAAGGAGCCCTCCCTCCCAGCGGGCGTCTGTACCCTGAGTGGGGCGAGGAGACAGGCAGACAAGGCCCCGACCATTGGAACACGGAGCCCTACTAGGCTCAGACCCTCCACCACATCAGTGCCTTGGCCTTGCCAGCCTACTGTCCCCTCACCCGGGGCCCAGCTAGGCCAGAGTGAAGATCCATTTTGGTGACTGGGAAGAAAAAGCCAGGGATCACGGGCATCTCAGACATGCCCTCTGGAACTTTCTTAGGGTGTCAGGCAGTGTGTTGGGCTAGCCAGGATTGGGGGACCCCCATCCCTCTCCTGGCCCCTGGTGCCTCCCCAGCATCCTGCCATCTGTCACCGGGGCCTGGCCCACATGCAGGGTCACAGGCACAGCTGAGATGTGTCCATGCGGATGCAAGGTTGTGTGGCATCGGCAAGGCCTTAGCCCACCTTCTCCTTCACAGGAGTGTACCCTACAGTGCCGGCTGACCCCCCACTGATTTACCCGCAGCCCCTAGTTGGTGCAGGAATGGATGCCTGCTGGTGCCATTTGGCAGGACCTGGTGCAGGGCGATGCATGTGCCATCGCCACGGTAACCCTACAGCCCATCTTGAGCACTGGGGCAGAGCAGGGAGCTCTGGCGCCACCAAATGGCCCAGCCTCATCTTGCTCTGTGCCTTCCCGGGGCCCAGTGCCTCAGGTATGATGGGTGGGGAGCTGATAGACTAGGTCCTTCCTTACCCCTAGAACCAGCCCCAGGAGATCTGGAGCTGCCTAAGTCCCGATGGGGTTTCCCTGGACCATGAGGCAGGGTCCTATCCTCCCCACAGAGTAAGTGGGAATGTCCTTGGTCTGGTGCGGACACCCCTCCTGTGCTGGGGGGGGCACAGTTGCTCTTTCAAGAGAGCCGTCCCGAGGGCTGAGGCCGTCTGGCCGGAAGCTATCGCCTCCACCCGTGACCCGAGGAACGTCTGGGCTGCCCTTTGGCTTCCAGTCCCACGCCTGGACACTAGCCTGTCAACCCTCAGTCCTGTGGACGGACCCGTCCCTTCACCACCCACGGCCTCCTTCCCGGAACACAGGCCTGCGGGTGTCCATCGAGGGCAGGGTATCCCCCTGAGGTCGGTGCTCATCCCAGCCGCTTCCAGTCGGAGGGGCCAGGCACCCCCGTGTCACGGGATGAGGCAGCTCCCTCAGGAATACAGCAGTCTGTCCGTCCGCTCACCTGACCCTGGCCTCTGAAGTGCAGGTGCCGTGGCAGCGCCGGGGGACACGTGGCGAGGGAAGAGCTGAGGCGGGGAGGGGCGAGGGGCAGGGTCCTTGGCCTGGTGGGATCCGATGAGGTAGAGGGCACTGGCCGGAGGGCTCAGCCTGTAAGGGAAAGTACTAGAGAGAGGAAGGGAAGGAGGAACTCGTGTGGCCTCCTGCCAGCTCAGGAGGAGCCGAGTGAGGGTCACATGCAGGGTGTGACGTCTGCACACCTGGGAGCAGGTGGCTCGGACAGAAGCCACCCTGCAGCGCAGGTTGGGAAGGGGAGTGGCCCTGCTCTCGTGGGCTGCAAAAGGCCTCGCCACGGAGCAGACCGCCCTCGAAGAGCCATTTTCAATGATGTTTTCCATTGCAGTTGGGGGGGGGGGTCCTGTGGACAAATATCCCAAGACCGCATGTACCCGCCACTGTCCCCACACCGCAGACAGAGCCCCTGTGCCTGGGAGCCGTGGCTGCTGCCCTTCTGGCTGCCCAGCCAGACCCAGCGTCCAGCCGGGTTTCCAAGCCCTTCTGGCTCACTGCCTCCAGCCATGATGATTCAGGGACCGTCATCAGCTCCAGGCCGGACTGGGTCTGTCTCCCCCTCAGAATGTGCAGAAGCCTCGGCTGCACCACAATGCCACATCAGTCCTTGACCAGAGCCCCGGCAGGTGGCCAGTGGAGGCCTCTTCGTGCTGGGGAAGGGCGTTCCCGTCAGGGCTCAGGCGGCGAGGCCAGCTGTGGCCCAACAGGGCTCCTCAGTCCCTCCGCTGGCTCCTGGCTCCTCTTCTGGGTTCTTCTCGGGGGATGTGGGGGGGGCGCCATCCGTGGCCTTCTGATGCTCAGTCTCTGTCTTTCAGGCCCGGGGCGGCTGCCAGGGAGCCACCCCCCCAGTGTCCACCGCTTCACCTGCTGGAGACCCCGGCATTGTCAGCTCAGACGCATCTAATTAAGTTTTGGGGACGAGCAGAAAAGCGGACCGGGCGGCCTGCCGTGGTTTGCGGGCACTCGAGTCTTTCCTGCGCGTGCAGCTGATTATTACCTCAAAAACCCAGAAGCGCAGCAGGCAGCGGGCGCCGTCCTTTGCTTGCCGGCCGGGCCCTGAAGTGGGCTGAGATGCTGCTCATTTTCTCAATTCAGTTTGGTTTTTTAATAGTAATTTTATGCTAAGACTGTGAATTGTTTCTTCTAGGACTTGTCACAAATTCTCCCATTAAAGTTTTGGACTTATTTTCACGTCGATGTTGTTCACACCAGATTTGTTCCCGACGATGGCAGTGCGGGGCGGGGCCGCGCGGCGCGGTGTTGGCGTCACGGTTCTGTCCTCTCCTGTGTCCCTTCGTGCGCCGGCACCCCGGACGCTGCCTTCCCCATTCTCTTCTGTCGCCTCATTCCATATGCTCTTGATTTCCGCCTGCGGTGAGCTCCGAACCTCCCTGGGGGTTGGGTGTGTATTTTTTTCTGTTAATAGAAGTTCTACCATTCTCCACTGACACCCTGGCCAGGGTTTTCCTCCAGTGAATGAAGCGCCAAGGCAGGAGCCTCTCGGCCTCGGCGTTGAACGTTTAGCTGGTTCCCATTTTACGGCTGTGGCCCACGGTGCCGCTCAGCTCGGTGTCCCTGTCCCTGGCTGGGTCTGCTCGGGTGGCAGCTGAGGACCAGCCCTGCACATGCTCTGGGCTTTCCTCCTCGCAAGGCTCGATTTGGGTTTTCTGTCGTCTGCGGCCGGAAGGTGGCAGCTGACTCGCTCCCCTTTCCGAGGTGCCAGTCCTCAGGTCCGGCCAGCCCGCCTCCTGGCTTCCTGCAGCCCAAGATTCACTGACAGACCAGGGGCCTGCTCGAGCGAAATGACATTCCAGAGAAAAAAAGAAGAAACATGACCAGAAGTCTGGGGTGGGCTCAGGGCCAGCCTCTGGGAGAAGGTGCCTTTTTCCCCTTTCTTTTTTGCTTCCTTCCTTCCTTCCTCCCCCCTCCCTCCCTTCCTTCCTTCCTTCGAGCACAGTGGGTGGGGAGGGACAGAGGGAGAAGCAGACTCCCCGCTGAGCAGGGAGCCCAACTCCACCTCAATCCCAGGACCCTGAGATCATGACCTAAGCCAAAGGCAGATGCTTAACCCACTGAGCCACCCAGGCGCCCCTCCCCTTTCTTTTTATAAATTGTGGTAAAATATATGTAACATAAAATTTGCCATTTTAGCCATTTTAAGTGAATCCAGTGGCATGGATTACATTCACAATGTGATTGTGAAATCACCACCTGTATCTAGTTCCAGAACATTTCCTTCACCCCAAAGGATACCCGATCCCCACGAGCAGTCACTCCCCAGCCCCTGGCAAGCACCAGTCTGCTTTCCGGGTCGATGGACTTGTCTGTTCTGGACGTTTCCTGTCAGTGGAATCATACACTCTGTGGCCTTTTGTGACAGGCTTCTCTCACTCAGCGTCAAGGTTTGCGAGGTTCACCACGTTGTGGCGTGTGTCAGGGCTTCCTTCCCTTTTATGACAATAGCCCACCGGAGAAGGTAGCTTTGAGAGGAGACCGTAGGGCGGTGAGCCAGCGGGCGTGCAGAAGGTGGGCCGGGGAGGCTGGGCTCTGGCCCAGGTGCCCACACAGCTGGGACGGGCGAGAGGGGCCAGCCGAGCAGTGGGCGCCTCGGGGGCTGGGTCTTCACAGGCCTCCCAGCTGTTGAGCAGAGAGCCAACTGCGGGGGCCTGGGGGGGTGGTCAGCAGGTCCTGTGGTCACCCGGGGTGGGGGCGGGGGGGGGCAGGGGTGGGCGGGGTGGGGGGGGACATACCTGACTTGCTGTTGAGTGGGAGTGGGGGTGGCCTGAGCCACAGGGAGAATAGCTAGGATGCCAGGGGGGAGGTAGCTCGGCGGTGGACCGTCAGGGTCGGGGTGTCTGTCATACAGCTGGGTGTATTGGTTGTGTTCAGGACAGAGAAATGCGGAAGTCCGGACGAGAGAGGACGTCATGGAAGACAGAAGGCCAGATTTCAGGAGCAGGAGAGGTGACGGCCAGGCGGAGCGGCGTGCGTTGAGTGGGGCGATGGGACCACCCAGTGCTTCGAGAGAGAATCAGACCCCGGAGCACAATCGGGTGTGGAGGAGATTCCCTGCGAAGATGGCCAGGGGCCGCGCCACGTGGGAGGGAAACTCCCACGAGTTGGCAGCGAGCCCTGGGGAGGTCTCGGCGGTGGGAGAAGGTGGGATGCGCCAGGACAGGTCGTCTGGGCAGCACAGAGGTGTGAGGTGGGCAGCACAGAGGTGTGAGGGAGAGGCGGAGGGTGCGGGCGTGGAGGCCAGCGAAAGCCTGCGGTCCCCGGGAAACAGACAAAGCTCGACCGGCGGGTCCCGGGCTGGCGCAGCCGCCCTCCCACGGCTCGGCCTCCGCTCACGGGAGCCCTCTTGTGGCCACGGCGCGAATTCGGACCGTGCTTCTCTGGGCCACAGGCCTGGAGCTGGGTCTTTTGGGGGATTTTTAATTTGAACGAATACCTTAGCTCAAATTCTGCACTGCCCCTGAAAGGGGAAGTCTGTTGAGCCTCCGACTCGTGTTCTCTGCTCAGGTCTTGATTTCAGGGTCCTGAGATCGAACCTCGAATCAGACTCCCTGCACAGCGCGGAGTCTGCTTGAGTTTCTCTCTCCCTCTGCCCCTCTAGCTCGTGCTCTCTTAAATCAATCAATCAACCAATCAATCTTTTTATTTTTTTTATTTTTTTTAAAGATTTTATTTATTTATTTGAGAGAGAGAGAATGAGAGATAGAGAGCACGAGAGGGAAGAGGGTCAGAGGGAGAAGCAGACTCCCCGCTGAGCAGGGAGCCCGATGCGGGACTCGATCCCGGGACTCCAGGATCATGACCTGAGCTGAAGGCAGTCGCTCAACCAACTGAGCCACCCAGGCGCCCCCAATCAATCTTTTTAAAAACCCGCCTAAATGTGGCCGCACAACAATCATCGAGCCATAAGTCTTACAAGAGTGCAGAGGAGTCACTCGGCACCCCTCAGCTGGCCATGCAAGCAGAATGGGTGCTGATGGTGCCTCCATGCGACAGATGGGGACGTTGGGGCTCAGAGGCTTCGTGACCCGCGCCCCCGGGGCCCCCAGTCAGATACCGGCAGAGCCAGACCTGTGATCCTGAAGGCAGTACTCTTGGGACTGCTCATCCATGCAGCTGCTCAAGAGGGCAATTTTCTAGAATATATGAATAATTAAAAATGTACACACCTTTCTCCTCAATTTCTCTTCTAGGAATTTTCTACAGATACATGTCTACAAGTATACAAATATATGTGTATGAGAAACGCAAAATGAATGCATTTCTCGCCACATTTTTTGTAACTGCAAAATATTGAAAACAATTGTCAGTTGAAGACTGTTTAAATCAATGCTCCGTTCCCCAGCCATGAAGTGGAATATTATTAAACTGTTAAAAAGGCAGAAGTGACTTTTCCTCCATGGTGCATTAGTGTAAAGAGTACTGAGAGTGACAGTTTATGTACATTTTTGAAATGGGGTGGGGGGAGACTTTTATCCAAATATCTCTGGAAGGAGACAGGTCACAGCCGTGGCCTCTAGGGAAGGAACCAGGGGCCTGGGGGTTGGCATGGAAGGCAGTCTCTTGTTTCTTCTTATACCCTTGGGTAGTTTGCATTTAAAAAATTCCATGGGAATGCAAGCTGGTGCAGCCATTCTGGAAAACAGTATGGAGGTTCCTCAAAAAGTTGAAAATAGAGCTACTATACGACCTAATTGCACTACTGGGTATTTACCCCGGAGATACAAATGTAGTGATCCGAAGGGGCACGTGCACCCTAATGTTTATAGCAGCAATGTCCACAATAGCCAAACTATGGAAAGAGTCTAGATGTCCATCAACAGATGAATGGATAAAGAAGATGTGGTGTATACACACACACACACACACACACACACACACACACACACACACAGAGTGGAATATTATGCAGCCATCAAAAATGAAATCTTGCCATTTGCAACAACTTAGCATAAAAGAGGCTTTTATGCTAAGCAAAATAAGTTGATCAGAAAAAGACAATTATCATATGATCTCACCGATATATGGAATTTGAGAAACAAGGCAGAGGATCATAGGGGAAGAGAGGAAAAAATGAAACAAGACGAAACCAGAAGGGGAGACAAAGCATAAGAGACTCTTAATCTCAGGAAACAAACTGAGGGTTGCTGGAGTGGAGGGGGGTGGGAGGGATGGGGTGGCTGCCTGATGGACACTGGGGAGGGTATGTGTTGTGGTGAGCGCTGTGTATTGTTTAAGACTGATGAGCCACAGACCTGTACCCCTGAAACAAACAGTACATTATATGTTAATTTTTAAAAATTAAATTAAATTTTAAAAATAAAAATAAATTAAATTAAATAAAAAATTCCAAAGAGGCTGGTGTAGGGACAGGAGTTGGAGCCCCTGAAACTCTGACCACTCTTCTCAGTCAGTCCTGCTCATTATCATCCCACCAACCTGGGGGCTTGGCGGTGCATGCATGATCAGGGGTTTCACCTGAGAGGGGACCCATCAGGAGAGGGAAGTGGAGGCCACAGCACCCGGAGGAGATGAGGGTGGGGGTGTTAGAGGTCCAGCCGCTGTATCCCGCCACCGACCACCAGGGGTCGCCGTGGCCCACAGACCCTGCAGAGAACACAGAGCGGGGGGCGGGGGGGGGGGCCCGAGACCTGCCTCCCCCAAGGACATAAGACACCCCTCACCTTGTGGTTGTGCTGTCCAAGCGCTGATCCACGTAAAAGGCCGGGCTCAGGGCAAGGAACGGGACCTCATTCGTCACTATTACTGTTATTGTTACTCAACTTGTCTCTTCTCACAATGCGTCTCTGTGAAGCGGGAATAGAAAGTAGGGCTCAGTAGGAATCTTGTGAGCACATCGGCGCAAAGCGCTGAGGACGATGTCCACATAGGG